ATGTAAAATGCCGGTACGTTTAGTGTTAATATGTACTTCATAAAATTAACGGAAATTTAAGAAATAAAATTTCATCGAGTATTTAATTTAGTAAGTCAATTTTTATTCGATAAAATCTTATTAAAGTTTATTTGCAATCTGTCCGCAATGATTGTTATTGTTTATCTATGTGAATGAGACGAAGAATCTAATACGAATTCGTCTCGTTTCTGCTGTTACAGATTTGAAAGCGGGGAAATACGTACCAGTGACGTATCCAGATAATTGTAATCTCTTATGTAGGAATGTCAGCGAAGTCAAAAACGAGCAAAATTGCTGCGATAATTTCGCGACGTGCGCCTGTGGCACTGTGACCGGACACTACACTTGCATTTGTCCCGCGGGATATTTTGGCTCTGGTCTTCGGCGTTCTTGTCACCGTGAGTTTGCCGGGAATACGGATTTTTCAGTATTCATGTGGAATTTCTTCGAAGAAATTTATTTTATCTTGTATTAATTATATTAATTATAGAATGAATGATTCAGAATGATTTAAATAGTAAAAATAAATTAAATTCAAGTGTTTCCGTATTTTGCATAAAAGTTAAATATTATTAAGTCAATAATAATACCAATAAAAATTGCCGGAAATACGGATTTTTCAGTATTCATGCGGAATTTCTTCGACGAAATTTATTTTATATTCGTCTTGTATTAATTATATTAATTATAGAACGAATGATTCAGAATGATTTAAATAGTAAAAATAAATTATATTGAAGTGTTTCCGTATTTTGCATAACAGTTAAATATTATTAAGTCGATAATAATACCAATAAATTTCATTTCTTTCCAGCATGTCCAAATGGAACGTACGCATCTGGAGAAATCTCCGGTGATCTCACGACAATGTGCACCTCGTGCCCTGACGTGAATCATGTGACTATGAAAGTACCTGCAACTTCTGTAGAGCATTGCGTTTGCGCTTCCGGTTTCACGACGGACGGAAATAAATGCGAGGGTAATTAAAAAATGCGATTTAATTACTTAAAAATTCATCGTTTATTCAAATTGTTCGCCTTACTTTTCACCAAATGTATCCTACGCCTGCTGCAAGAACAGGCATATTTCCGTATAATGGAGTTATCTCCTTAAGGGGATCAGGATATTGCGGCGTATAAGCTCCATATTTCTCTAATTGAAATTTTGGTCTCGATGCGAGCCAACCGTACTTATCAAAAAATTTCAACATTTTCACAATATTATAACGATGACGAAACAATTTGTAATTTAATCCGATTAATGTTATTAATACCTCGCCATTAGTAGTAATCGGAGTTGGCAGACAAGTTTTTCCCTCCTCTCGTTCGAACGTTTCCGTGGCAATGACCGTTTGCTTTTCTTCGCACAGTTTCTCTATTTCTTTCCGTAGTTTCCTTCGAGA